AAGACTGTGTTGAGTAAAATAGGAATTTGGCATGAATTTCTTTTGCACTTGTGTCTTCTTTTCCTGAAAGTTGACAACAGGCTCTAAGATACGACAAGTAGACTTAGAGCATATGTAGGCTGGCATCGGGCAAGCATGTTCTATCTGTTGTCAAAGTAAAGAAGGTATTTATTTATTCAGCCTGTGAATATCCTAGTGCTTTTGTATATTAACTTTCCTCTTTTTTCCCTCACATAGTTGTGGTTGTCTCTTGAGACCTAGCGTCTATAATAGCAACTCTCCCATCATCAATAATTTCTTTCTAAAATTTGGTAATATTCAAAATGAATCTATACTGTCCAATATTATTTCTGTGGCATGAAGGCATGGCAGAGAATACTTTTCTGCTGATATTAACAAATCCATTTTTTATATCATATTTGACTGTTAAGGAATTTGGCAGTTGATTTCTTTTATACAACACCTCCAAGTCCTAGCTTTATTAGTAATAGTTAATAGCTCTATTAAGATAGACATAAAAAATGACCTGGTAATGGAGGTAAAAAATGGGCCTAAAAACAGAAGGATTGGCTGAAAGTCTGTTTATAAAGCAATTAAAAACTTGAGGTTCTGATAATGTTTGGATTACTAAGTCCAGCAACTATAATAAAAAGAAAAAAAAAAACCTTAAGAGGTTATTGACTCTAATAAAATATTGGGGAATAATTCTGAATGAAGATTAGGGAGAGAACTAGAGCTCAGAGAGATGAGCCAGCATTTAAAGCCAGTTTTTCACTGGAAGCATTCACTGATCAGGAAAGAAGTGGCTGAGAAGTAAAGCTGTGCTTTTCATGGGGGAAGGACAAGGTTGGCACCTTATCCCAGTCTGACACTTGCCAAAGATAGGATTTTGTTGAACTGCCTCCCATTCTTAGCTGAAACCATAAAGGGCTGTACCTTGGAGTGGGGGATAGTTTGCAGCAGCAACAGATGATCTAGAAAACCTCAAGCCTGTGTTCTGGACTGCCTATGCCCACGAGTGCCCAGCAGAAGCAAGCAAAAACCTTCTCTGATATAGGATAACACTATACTAGTCTTCAAATTACTTTTAAAAATAAATTTTTCAAAAATAAATAAATAAATAAATAATAAAAATAAATTTTCACATTCAACCCCAGTTTTTTTTTTTTAAAGATGACCGGTAAGGGGATCTTAACCCTTGACTTGGTGTTGTCAGCACCGCGCTCAGCCAGTGAGCGAACCGGCCATCCCTATGTGGGATCCGAACCCGGGGCCTTGGTGTTATCAACACCGCACTCTCCCGAGTGTGCCACTGGCCGGCCCTCAACCCCAGTTTAAAAAAAAAAAAAAAAAAAGATAATGAGGCACATAAAGACACATGACAACACAAACCAAAACCAGCAGAAACAAGAAAAACAGACACACTGAACTCTAGATATATGTGCAATTAAAGAAATATGTTTATTATGTTTAAAAGATAAAAGCCAAGCTTGAAAATTTCAGCTGAGTACCAAAAGATTCTAGAATTAAAAAATACAATGATCTCACACTGAGCAAATGAGGCTTACAGCAGATTATACTGAAGAAAGTTTATTAACTGAAAGATGTTTCAGAAGAAACAATCCAAATGAAACACAGAGAGACCAAGGGGAAAAAAAGAGGAAAATACAGAGAAACAAGTAAGAGATACACCTTTAATTGATATATCTTTCATTGAAGTCCTAGCAGAAAATGAGAGTGGAAATGAAGCAGAGGTGACGTGTACGTCTTGTGACTGAGAATTTCTTGGAACTGATGAAGGACAGTCAGTATTCAGGCAGTTCACTGAAACATATGCAGGATAAATAAAGAGAAATCCACATTTAAGAACATCATTGCGCAGCTTCAGAACATCACAACAAAGAGAAGACTATGAAAGCCGCCCTAGCAAAAAGATTTCTTTCAAAGGAGCCGGCTGTTAGACTGACAACTGACCCCTCAACAACAAGATACCAAAAGGCACTGGAACGATCTATTTAAGTTGTTTATAAGAAGTACTCACCAACCTAGAATTCATCACACAGTGAAAATATCTTCCAAGAATTAAGGCAAATTCATTCTCTGAGCTTGTAAGAAAATAAAATTAAAACAATAAAGGTGAAATGAAGACATTTTCAGAAAAACAAAACACAGGATTCGCCGTTTGTAGATCTGTATGAAAGGAAAGGAAATTTTGTTCCATGTCCAAGAGGAACATAATTCCAGATAGAAATTCAGAGATGAAGGAAGGAATGAAGAGCAAAGAAAGTTATGAAAAGGTGGATAAAACAAAATGAATGTTGTTTATATAAAGCAAAACAATAATGACATGGAATTTTGAAAAATACAAGGGCACTTCATGGGGCCGGCCCGGCGGTGCACTGGAGAGTGCGCCGCTTGGGAGCACAGCGGCGCTCCTGCCAAGGGTTCGGATCCCATGTGGAGACCGGTTCCCACTCACTGGCTGAGCGCGGTGCGGGCGCAACACCGAGGGTTGCGATCCCGTTGCCGGTCCCCGGTACGGGCACGACACCGAGGGTTGCGATCCCGTTGCCGGTCAGTAAAAAAGACAAAAAGGAAAAGAAAAAAAAAAGAAAAATACAAGGGCACTTCAAAAAGTTTATGGAAAGATTCGTGTTATCTTTTAATTCCATTTTTCCATGAACTTTTTGTAGTACCCTCGTACATAGAAAGAAAATTAAAATGCACAACAATAAGGCTTATCGGTTAAGTAGAGATAAACTGTTGTGAGGGACTTGCATTGTCTGGCAGGAAGGTAAATTGAAAGTTAATGTGGAATTTTGATAAGTTAAGGATGCATGTTATAAATTTTAGGCTAACCACTAGAACACTAGAAAAACTTCCTGTTTTTGGTAAGGGGATATTAGAGAATGAAATGAAATGATAAAAAAAAAATCTAAAAGGCAAGATAAAAGAGGAAATGCAATATGAATAGGCAAGACAAATATAAGACAACAAATTTAGTCCCAAACATTTAAATAACTGTATTAAATGTGGATGGACCAAGTGCTCTTCTTTAAAAAAGATGGTTGGAGGCTGGATTAAAATAAGGACACTATTAACCACAAAATCCTCTCATCCCTGGATAATCGGGTGACGAACCTTCCCCACCCTGCCCAAAGATAGTTGGGATATCTTTGAATAGAGAAAATCAGAGAATTTCTAGACCGGGACACATCAGGTGTAGTTGAGGACAGAGGCGCCAGAAAATAGGAAGATTAAAAGCCAGGTCACTTTATAGTGATGCTCAGAGTGGGGAAGCCCCACCCTCCTGCTCATCACTACCAATAATTTCTTTTTTAGTTCTTAACCCTTAAATATGAGAAACACTCAAAGATTACTAGTCATCTAAGGAAAGTCTTTTACATGAAAGATTAATTTTATAAAAGAGACCAAAGCAGACAAACAGAAAAAGGCATCTTGGGGAAAAAAACAAGGATTACAGGAAGAGAAGGAAATTTAAAAGAAATAAAGCTCTCAATATCCTCATGAAGACAAAATATTATATCCTGAAAACAAGACAGAATTTTATTTCTTAAAAAATTAGAAAATAAGCTCTTGAAAATAAAAGTGTGACAGTAGAAAGATTAGAAGAAAAAGTTCAAGTCACCTATAAATAGAACAAAGGACAGAAGATGGAAAATAAAGAAAATTAGAGGTCTAGTCTAGAAAGTACAATATCAGAAAATAAAAATTTTAGGGAGTGAGAACAGAAAAATGTAGGGAAGCAAATTATCAAAGATTTTACAAATATTTCCCAAAACTGAAAGACTCACATTTTCAGATAGGAAGGCCCACCCACTGAGTGCCAAACATGATAGGTGCAAATAACACACATCAAGACACAACATAGGGCCGGCCTGTGGCTCACTCGGTAGAGTGCGGTGCTGATAACACCAAGGCCACAGATTCGG